TTCAACTCCCAGCCAGCTGAGGGGAATTCTGGGAATTGAAGTCCATATATTAACTTTCAAGGTTGTGAAATACTCTCCCCAAACCTGCTCTGCTTGACTGTACATAGGTTTTGGTTGCTTATTCAAATTGTTCTGCAGACCAGAATAGACCACAAAATAATAAAAAAGATACCTAAGGTATCTCACAAAGGCAATAATTTTGAGCAATGAAATATTTCAAATTGGCACTCTGGTAGAGACTGGAAAAGACCTTGCCCTGCACCAAAAATTTCAATCTTTAACTGAAAACCCCACCTTGAACATGTCCTCCCATTATAAAAGCCTACATAGGACCAGTTGGTCACAGGGTCATTTGCCTTTAAAGAGAAAAGGAAATTCCCCAATGTCATAATTATTTTGCTTTCTGGAGTTAACCTATAATTGTAGTTGAATGGCCTGTTAAATAATTGTGGGTATGTCCATGTGCCTTCAAATCAGTTTTGACTCCTGGTGATTGCCTGGACTTTTGCCCTGCACTTTTCTTGGCAAGATTTTTCAGTTTGCCAATGCATGCTTCCTAGGGCTAAGAGAGAGTGACTGGCCCAAGATCACCAGCTAGCTTCATGCCTAAAGCAGGACCAGAACTCACAGTCTCCTGATTTTTAACCTGGTGTTTTAACCAATAAACCCAACTGGCTGTCTATATACTTAACTGCAGCTGTGCAAATAAGGCAATAATTGAGCAGAAGAATGAGAAAGATTCACAAACATGGACTGGAGAGATTTGCCCAGACAGTATCTATAAGATGTCTGTCAAAGACAAAGCAATTATCTTCTCCAAAACTGGAAACAGCACCTGCAGGCTTACTAATCATCATTCGATTTTTGAGATTTGAAGCTCAGATCCAAAGAGTATTGATTAATTTTAACACTACAGTTCATCCAATATCAGTGATCACATCTTTATTAGTGCAGCAAAAACCCTAGTTATTCTGTTAGAAAATTCTAAATTTGAATTCAATCCAATGTAAATTTGTGCTTACATGTACTCTATTATATGGCTTATGGGATGCCAAATATTTAGCTCTACTCACTCCACATTCTATGTACTATTTGAATTCAATGGAGGACCCCAGAGTACTAAAAGAAACTAAGGGCTTTTCTGCACGGTAGCCTTAAGCTGCTTGGCTCCTGTCTAGAAATAAGCCAGTTTAAGAAATCCCTTTCTAGATTTCAATCTCCTTTCTTCACTTTTGCCACAATAATGTCCTGGTTTATTGTATGGACCGGGCCTACCACAACCTGTGATTCTCCTGCATCTTTACCTCTTCTACTCATGCATGAAAAAGCAATTGTGAATTGCTTTCTTTGGTTTAAGGATATGTGATTTCCCTTGATAGACCTTTTGTATAAGTACCTTGCCATTGACTCCCCCTCATATTTAACACTTTCCATTGGTAGAAAAGAAAACACACAACAGTACAGGAGTCCTCAACTTACAACAGTTCATTTAGTGACCATTCAAAGTTACAACAGCACTGAAAATGTGACTTATGGTCATTTTTCACACTTACGAATGGTGTAGCATCCCCAAGGTCACATGATCAAAATTTGGATGCTTGGCAACTGGTTCATATTTATGATGGTTATAGTGTCTCAGCTCATGTGATCCCTTTTTGTGATCTTCTGATAAGCAAAGTCAATGCTAAAGTTCACTTAACAACCATATTACTAATTTAACAACTGCAGTGATTCACTTAACAACTGTGGCAAGAAAGACTGTAAAATGGGGTAAAACTGATGTTTGACATTAACAAATGTCTCACTTAGCAACATAAATTTGGGGTTCAGTTGTCCTAAATCAAGGACTACCTGTATTGACATGGTCTGCTATGTAGAGTTGAAGAAGAAAGTGACAGAACTTTTATCAATTTCACAAGATTAAAAAGGAGAGAAAGGAAGTCTGGGTTTTCATATTCCATCAAAGATTTAAAATGAAAAAAAGGAGGGGAAACCCTAGTCTTTCACTGTCTCACTGGTGAATTTGTTACAAAAAATAAATCATGAAGGACTATTCTCGGGGGTGAAATCCACACATCTTAAAGTTGCCAAGCCTGAGAAACACTGATGAGGAGTAGTGCTCAGTGCCCAGAGCGGAGCGGGCATTCCAGTAGCAACAGTCAATTGCTATGAAAGTGCTCATCTACCATGAAAAAAAAATGAAGCAGAGCAAAGGCTCCAGACATCACCACTTGAACAGACATAAGTACTGTAGGAAAACAGCACTTTCAATCCTTAGCAGGGTGACATCATGAATTCCTGCTGGGAAATAGTTAGTGGTCTGTACTCACGTTGGGACAAGGTGGTTGTACAGATTAGCCCAAAGAAATCAATAACAACTTTATACTTTTCGGGATCTCTTTCCCTTCACCAACCCCCTTCAGTCATTTAAAATCAAAACTTATAGGAAAAGATCATTAGAGACCCACATCTACACATTCATTCTGCTACTTTCACTAGAGTCTGAACATAGAAACGTCTACACCTTATTTCACCTTCTCAGATTTGGGCAGTTGTATGCAAGGACTGGATGTCTAAATGAGGATGCTGAGGACAGGGCCACATGCCTAACTCCAGCTGCCCTCCCTCCGTCTTTTTCATCCATTCTGAAAACCTGATCCAAATTCTATTGGTTGTTGTTCTGACTTTTCAGACCCTTGTTTATATGAATCGGCTGTAAAATCTTTTTGTGGCAACACTGGCCATTTTTGCAACAGGCTGCAGGCAGAGTCACAATCCCTGATTGTCCAAAGAGACTGCCCAGCCACTGGGTGAGAGGTGAGAAGGCTTACGCAAGGTTGCATAACTCAGTGGACAGAAATAGAATGCAGATCCATGGAATAAAGTCTTAGACCCATGCCCTTGTACAAAAAGGGAACCGACGCCTAAACATGCTAAACCCACGTTCATTAAAAAAAGGGGAAAAAAGAGAGGGATGCTTACCTTTCACCTGGATGAATCAAGTTGCATGTTTGAAGAAAGGACTGAAAGCTCTCTGGAGGACTGGCTGACTTTCACCAGCTTTGGATTCTAAATGTGCTCCTTTAATCAAAATAACTGGCTCTTAACACTGAGAACTCCAACAGTAGCTAGGGAGGCTTACATTCAGATTCCCCTCAGCACATAACTCAGTGACTTGGACCACCATTGGCCTCTCTGCTTGTCAAAAATGGAGTAGAAGGGCCTTGGAAAAGAAGGGATAAAGCTGAAAGATGTGCATATGCATTACATCCACAAGTGCAAGTAGAGGCTGACTATAGAATCAAGAAGCAAATGTGGCAAACCCCACGCGTTTGATTCATTAGAGAAAAGCTAATTCAGTGCTGTTGGCCGCCACGGAAATTCTGCCAAAGTAACTCTACTTCAGGGGTAGTCAACCTTAGCTCTTTTATGACTCGTGGACTTCAACTCCCAGAATTCCTGGGAGTTGAAGTCCACGAGTCATAAAAGAGCCAAGGTTGACTACCCCTGCTCTACTTGTACATCACAAGGGTGCTCTGAGTGTAAAACCAAAATGTACCTTGTATGTACATTTCCCTTTTCTCCATAGTGATGTGTGTAATATAATTGGACAAAATTCTGTCTTCTCAAGACAAAAGGCTGTCAAAAAAAAAGATAGGCCAAAAAAACCCCCACATTATCCTCTCCATTCAACTGTGAGATGGAAGCGAAGTGGTAATAACCAAGGAATATCTGTATCCCTCTTGTAGTAAGATCAGCATTTAGATCAGTGGTTTTCAAACTTGGCTTTTTTAAGTTGTGTAGAATTCAACTCCCAGAATTCTCTGACAAGAATGCCGATTATGGAATTCTGGGAATTAGAAGACCACACGTCTTAAGAGTTGCCAGGTTTGAAAATCACTACCTAAATAGTCTTATCACAGTAGCCAACCTGAATCCTTCAAATGGAACTTAAGAAAAACTAACCACTGGAATGGCTTGCCTTCAGAAGTTGTAGGTGCTCTCATCACTGGAGGTTTTTAAAAAGACATTAGACCAGGGGTAGTCAACCTTGGCTCTTTTATGACTCGTGGACTTCAACTCCCAGAATTCCTGAGCCAGCACAGCTGGCTCAGGAATTCTGAGAGTTGAAGTCCACGAGTCATAAAAGAGCCAAGATTGACTACCCCTGCATTAGACAATCATTTGTCCAAAATGGTATAGGATCTCCTGCTTGAGCAGGGGGTTGGATTAGACCTCCAAGGTCCTTTCCAACTCTTTTAGTCTGTAAAGTGCTATAGTGGTTTCCAGGACTTCATTCTTCAGCAATTGGCATTTAGAGGCAAACTGTTTTGTGGGTCATCTGGCCAAGCATCCATTAGCAACTTTCTATACTACACTGTGTCTAATCTTCTTTTAAAGCCACGTTAAAATCGAATCCCTAGTCTTGTCTCTCGAAAATCAGGGAACCTTGCTTTGCTGTAGTGGCGCAAACGTCAATTGATGAGACTTAGAATTATGGCCCCGCTCAATTTTAAGTTAGTTATTTCGTTTTGTTACGTTGCTCAGTGGGTAATTTGGAGGAGACTTAAGCGTTACAGGCAAATTCCGTAACGCCAAAATTCCCCTTCTCACTTCCAGTGGGGTTGTGCTCGGGACCGCGTGCAGCGAGTTCACCCTAACTTCACTGGTAAAGGCCGCCTGCACAGATGCTACGTGACTCTCTCCAGGTTGATAAATGAACGTGATTTATTGCTGCTGCCTGCGTGCTTTGGACTCCCTTCCCCACCGCGTCTCCTGGGGGCTAGCGACCACCTCCGCCTGCGATGCCCTTTGCCAGCATTTCCAGACCAGGAGGCTCTGCTTCTGGCCAATGGCTGTAGGATCGCGGCGTGCTCGGCGCATGGGCAGTCCCATTGGCCAGCAGCCTTGCAGGCACGAAGCCAAGCGGTCGGCCCGAGCAGGGGCGGGGCCTCGAGCAAGCATGGGACTATAAAGCAGGGAGGCGAGTTTACTGGAGGGAAAATATTCGAGTTGGCGCTTCTGCACGGAATCCAAAGGGGCGCTCCGAATTCAACGGCCGGTCAAAGCTCCGAGCGAGGCAGACGTGCTCTTAGAGGTAAGGCCGGCGGACGTTTTATTATTATTATTATTATTATTATTATTTTCTTTTGATCGTCCAAACTACAGTGCTGGTTTAGAACCGAGCTGTGGTTTATTTGAAGGCACTGATTTCATGGGAGGGATTCGTGGGGGTTGTATTGGACAGAAGGGCTGCTATTGTTTTTGGTTTTTGGAAAAAAAAAGGCTTAATGGTTTTGAATTCACGCTGTTACATTTGATTGGCCACCTAAGGAGAATTATACTTGGACTGTCTGTATTAGAAATGCATCTATTGTAGTAGTAAATGTAGCCTTTTCATACAGAATAACAGTTGGAAGGGACCTTGGAGGTCTTCTAGTCCAGCCCCGTGGTCAGGCAGGAAAAACTATACCATTTCAGACAAATGCTTGTCTAATCTCTTCTTAAAAACTTAGTGTTGGAGCATTCACAAATTCTGTAGGCAAGCTGCATAATGAGGTTCTGTAAGCTGCCAAGCCTCTGTTGGGAAAAACTGTTCTTTCAGAGTAGCATGGTCTAGAGCAGGGGTCTCCAACCCCCAATCCATGGACCGGTACTGTGGCATGCCAGCAACTGGTCTGCACAAACAAGCAAGCAAAGCCCCATCTGTGGGATACAGGCAGCACACAAAACCATGCACTCTCCAGTCCATGGAAAAACCTCTCTATGGAATCAGTCCCTGGTGCCCAAAAGGTTGGGGAGCTCTGGCCTAGAGATCAAAGGGATTTTTTTACAAGTTAAGCTGTAGCTTGACCTATATTTCTCATTTGTTTCTCCATCTAGGTGTTTCCAAGTGGCTGAACTATGGAGACAATGCAAGAGCTGATCCCATTTGCGAAAGAGATGCTGAGCCAGAAGCCCAATGGGAAAATGGTCAAGCTGTACATGCTGGGCAGCATGCTGGCCTTCTTTGGGGTGGTTATTGGCTTGGTAGAGACTGTCTGCAGTCCTTTCACCTCTGAAGGGAAGCTGGAGGAAGAGGAGGAGGAAGAGGAGGATGAGAAAAAGAAAAGGCCTGCTCTGCCACTGACAAAAAGAGAGGAGAAGGTGGAGGTTGTGGCTCAGAAACAGGAGGACATGATCCAGGAAAAAGGAAAACAGGTGCTGGCTTTAAGGAACTCTGTGAACAGGCAACATGCCTCATAAGAAGACTGTTCTTTGTGGAATGAAATGATGGTGATCTGCAGTATATAGGACATTTGTCCCTTCTTAAGGGGCAGATTCCCAAATAATGCCTTTGTGAAGGAACATCTCTGGTGAAAGACTGCCAGTTGAAAAAGACTATTAACAAAGTTTTATTTTGCTGCTGTGCAGCAGTTGAACAACACTGCCATTTAAAGTCTTATATACCTGTTCTTTTGGTACGAAAATGCAAAGCTCTGTTGTATCTTATCCCTGCCTATGTGGGATTTATTTTTTACTAATGTCTATGTGTTTTACAAATATTTTGCATTTTAAATAAACCATTTTATACCTGACACATGCTGGTGTGGACCTCTTGAATGGGGAGGGAGAGCTCTCTGAAGAGCATTAAAAGGGTTTTTTCTGTTTTGTGTTCTAGATTAAGCAAAGCTGACTTGCTCTTTGGGGGAAAATATTAAAATGAGGGGCATTTGTTTATTACTTTTCTTTACAAATAATTTCACTAACGGCAAGGAACAACTTTTGAAAGGAAAAAATCTAGGATTAAAATTTAGGCCTATAAGTATCAAAATCTGAGGTCAGCTTTCTGAATTAAAAACTATTTTTCAGTATCTGGTTGATAATTTACAAATAAGAAAATGTGAATATGGGGAGAAAGAAAATTAGAGGATCCAGATGGCCACCTTTGCTTGTAATACACTTGCAAATGCACAAAAATGGAAGGATCAGATATTCAATGGTGAAGATACAGTAAAAGTATGCCTATTCTACAGAAAGGAATCTAGAAG